GGCTGATTCCTGGGAAGTTGCAACTTAGAATTGAAAATAAACAACACAGAAATAATAGACAATTAGGTGACCGTCACAGAAAGATACTCAGTAGTAGACTCTGGGATTAAAACTGTATAAGTACATATCAGGAAACGACTGGAGACAAATTCGGGTGGTATGATTACATATAAAAAGCCAGAAAGAATGAGAAGAGAAAACATGGGTAATTTAATCTTTCTTACTTGTCCCAGGTTTTGGGGGAAAAAAAATCTCTAATGTATCACAATTGTTTTTTTTTCACTAGGAACAAAGGCAAAATCAAAATACAAAATAAACCTCCTTTCATAGAGTTATTTGGTGTTACATGTTTCAGGAATATTGTGGAGAAGCACAAGAATAGTCACAGAAACACAAACGGAAGTGATGGAAAGGCCACAAAGTAGATTTGCGGGGAGAGTGATCTCTGTCTCCACTGAGACTCGAACAGGAAAAATAATCATAATAAAAAATTGTGGGAAGAGTATTTGAGAACAAATTTATAACTGACAGAAGGGCCTGAAAGCCACCAAAATGACATACTCAGAGAAACAGTGGGATTTTCTGCACTGGAGAGTGTTAAGAAAAGTGTATTATTGCCTTCCAATTATGGTTTCATGTCTCTTCTCCCCAGAGGCACATGTACTTGAAATCCCTCCTGGCCCCATAAGAGAAGATTCTATGGTCCTGATGAGACTGTGTGCATTAGAATCACTTCTCCTGGAAAGGAGACGCTAAAGGGTACTCGAATAAAATATTAAAAATTCTGAAGGGCATAACGAAGGCCAATCAGCCCTTTCCTTTCCCCAGACCCCATAATAGGAGAACAAGGGTTATTTGATGAAATTAAAGAGTAGCAAATTAAGTGCTAATAAAATGAGATAGTCACTTATAATTCATTATCATGGGAGGTCACAGAGGCAAATTTTGTGGCTCGATTAAATATGGGGCTGGATGATTTTATGACCACTAATGATATTTTTAGTATTGGAGGCTGATATTGTGAGAGCAGTAATCCTATTATATGCTCCACTAGATGGTTTTCAGGGACTTATGGTAAGTGGTGTCTGAGAAGTGTGAGAGCAGGCCTCGCAGGTTCTAATCTTGGGTGGGGGATTGTACTAAGAATTCATTTTTAAGGTGAATGTCTTCCGGTAGCCCACTCATGCTCTAGTCCCAGCTTCTCTTGTGGCGATCCAAAACTCCGTTCTAATCAGAAGCCTTTGGGGTACAGAGTTTCATTACACAAGATGAATAAATTCTGGAGATCTATTGTACAGCAATGAGACTATAGTTAACAATACTGTGTGGATGCTTGAAATGTGCTAAGAGGGTAGATCTTACATGTTCTGAGCACGCAAAAAAATGGTAAATGTGTGAGGTGATGGATATGTTAATAGCAAAGGTATATCAAAACATCGAGTCATACACCTTAAATATATATAAAATTTTTATTTGTCAATTATATCTCAATAAAGCTGTGGTCGGGAGGGGGAAGAGTAAACACTAATTTTTTTTTTTTTTTTTTTTAAGAAGCAACCAGGAAAGATGACCAGAATTAGATCATTTCTGGACTTTGGGAACCATTCAGCTAATAAGCTGAATGCCACCCATGTATTCATGAGCACACCGCTTGGAGCTTTAAAAATCTGTTGGGAAAATAAACAGACAAATCGGTCTCCTTCAGAATGGAGGAAATTATACTAAAGCTAGACTGTAAAGTAGCATGGAAGCACAAAGACATAAAGAAATGGCTCAACCTGTGTGGTTAAGAGAAGTTCATGGAAAAGGTGACATTTGAACTGAGTCTTTATAAATTGAGATATAATCGACATATCACATTATATTAGTTTTATGTGTACAACATAATGATCGGATAAATGTTTCATTGTATAATAATTACCACAATAAGTCTAGTATCATCACCACACAGTTATAATTTTTTTCTTGTGCTAAGAACTTTAAGATCTGCTTTCTTAGCTACTTTCAAATATATAACACAGCATTATTAGCTGTAGTCAGCATACTGTACATTACACCCCCATGACTAATTTATAACTAGACGTTTGTACCTTTTGAACCCCTTCACCTTTTTTCCCTACCTCTGCCCCCCTCTCGCCCCCCACCCTTACCCCTGCCTTTGGTAACTACCAATCTGTTTCCTGTATCTATGAGTTCATTTTTGTTTGTTTGTTTGTTTTGTTTTGTTAGCTTCCATGTATAAGTGAGATAATTCAATATTTGTTTTTCGTCGTCTGAATTATTTCACTTAGCATAATGCCCACATGGTACACCCATATTGTTACAAATGGTAAGGTTTTTCTTTTTCATGGCTGAATAATATTCAATTTCATAAATATAGCACATTTTCTTTACTCATTGATTTGTCAGTGGACAAGTAAGTTGTTTTTATGTCTTGGCATCTGTGAATAATGCTGCAGTGAACATGAGGGTGCAGATACCTTTTTCAGATAATGATTTTGTTTTCTTCAGATAAATATCCAGAAGTGGAATTTCTAGATCATTTGGTAGTTCTGTTTTTGTTTGTTTGTTTTTTTTAGTAACCTCCGTACTGTTTTCCATAGTGGCTGCACCAACTTATATTCCCACCAACAGTCCACAGGGTTCTCTTTTCACATCCTTGCCAAATACTTACTTCTCATCTTTTTGATAACATTCTGACGGGTATGCGGTGCGACCTCATTTTGGTTTTGACTTGCATTTCTCTGGTGATGAGTGATGCTGAGTACCTTTTCATGTACCTGTTGGCCATCTACATATGTTCTTTGGAAAAATGTCTATTCAGATCCTTGAACTGAGCCTTAGAGTAACAGCTCACTATACAGGCAAGATAAGGAAGGGCATTCTAGGCAGAAGGAACAAGCAGCATGCAAGGCCAGAGACAGAACATGACGTAACGCATCAGGGAACTAACTCCCAGTACTTGGGAAAGGCTGTGCCACAGGGTTAAATTGTCAGAGAGGGAGAAGATGGGGCATGCGCAGGAGGTTGGGAGCCAGGTCATGCAGACTGGGATTGCCTGAGACCTCTCCCTCTGCGATCAGTGCTTCCAATGGTGGAGGTAGTGGGTGGGGAGTAGAGAAAAGCTGGGGAGGAGCTTTTAGAAAGTGTTAGATGAGATGAAGGGCAGCCCCGCAAAGCCTTGCCCCACTGTCATAGGCTTCCCTCTTTTCACCACTGTCAACTGCTGCCTGGTGGTAAGCATTGTATTTCATCCGACTCCTTACTTCACTCATTTTTACCATCTGCCTGAAACAGTCTTTACCATGAACCTGATCACCATTATTAGTAATTAAAAAAAAAAAAAGCCTCCCCTACTTTTGGTTAGAGAGAGGCTCTTACAGGTCTCAGATAAATTGGGATGAGCCTCGTGTGTCTGTCTGCTATTATTCCCTTGGGCTCTACTAAGAACAAAATCAGTCTGGGTGGCGAAAAAGGGAAGAGGCAGATTTCATTTCCCTGACCTTAGATTCCCAGTTCTCTGTGAAGTTGGCTCAGCATACAAGCAGGAAAACACACAGTGTCTTTGAGGAGCAGATGGATTGAAATGTTAAAAATCTGTTTTGTTAAGTGATTTCAGCTAACAAAAAAATTTAATTAGGAAAAAAAAAGCACCCCAGCTCTGTTTCTTCTGCAGTGATATTTAAATAAGAATATCATTATTAATCACTCCAA